TGAACATATCAGGAATGAATGGCAATAGGTAAGAACCTAATTGCTTTAATACATCTTCCAAAAAGTTCAAATATCCAAGTTGTTTTCGATATGTCACAAATTTACCTACATCTAAATTTGGTACAAACTTAAACTCGTCGTCTACTACGCCTGGCTTATTACGAACAATGGTAAATGGTTCAAGTAATAAATCTACAAAGGATCCCAATTCAGATTCCATACAATTTGCTAAAGCGGCCAATACTGCAACTCTACGAGCTCTCATTCCGGAACTTGCTGATGATTTTCCTTTTCTTGATATCATCCGACCATATAAAAGTCGAATAACAATAGGCATTAACTCAGCTCTATGTGAAAATTCTATAGAATCACTATCCTTATTTAAAGAAAATGTTGATAATTCATCCCTAAACTTAATCTCATTAACAAAATTACGGAGATTATCTTCATAAGGAGTAACTCCTTTATATTTCCAAGTGAAAAGGCATTCCAAAGCAAGACCTTGAACTTTGATATCCCCTATTGTCAACAAGTTCAAATAAATATTTTGTAAATTAGCTGACTTATAAACCGATCGCGGATTTTTAAATTTGGCGAAAAGTTTCAAGAAAAGTGACATTTTAGTTCTAGTCGTTTTGGGAGATTTTTCAAGGATTTTAAGATGATTATTTTCACTACTTAATGAATAAACTACATCTTCGGATTTTGTTTCTAATACTGGACTTGCATTTTCTGGAATTTTATTATCAATTTCCATTTTATTCGAAAGTTCTTCATCTCCTGGAACATATTCAGATTCTGCAAAATGAAGAAAAAAGGGAACAAACTGCTTAGAATGTTGTTCTACGATATGTGGCACTTCGGTGAGAGTTTTGATAAGAAGACCATAATAATTCCAATGATCTATCTTTTCATCCTGAAGAGAACAACATACCTATTAAAAAAAGGGATTTGTAAATAATTTGATGAAAAAGTATTTATTCTTCTAAATCAAAGATAATATTTTATTTACCGAAACATAATTCATTAATAAACTGTGTTGACCATTGTTTTTAAAGAACTTGAATGACTCGTTTGCAGATTTATTAAATTTATTTAAATTGGGGCAGTCTAATGGTTCATCATTAATCTTCATAGAAATCAACATATTATTTACTTTATCAAAATGCGCATCAAGAGTATTTTTCGAAAATCCATTTTCTGCTAGTCTTGACTCATTCTCAAATCGTGAAAGTTCATCATGAATCAATTTCCAAAATGTACGTGGATCAACTTGTGAAAAGTTCACTAAAGCATTTATTGCATCCGACCATATAGCACTAAAATTTATGGTCAATAAGCCTAAAACAGAAATGAAACAATTTAATTTCAAACATGAAAATTCTTATAGATAATTATATAATCTTTTAACACGTACCAAAACAATACAATGGAATAACATCAGCATAAAATTCCGGGACACGTTTTGATGATATCAAAGTATTCAATTTTCTAAGCTGCATAGTTTTTTCTCTATACGTAGATATAGTAGTATCAATTTCTTCAACTTTTAATGCCATTGCGAAAATTTCGCAAGCTTCTTTGACATCCATAGAATTCTCTTCGGATCGGAGATGAAATTGATCAAAAAGTTTGAGGATTTTAAGTGAATATAATCGACGACGGTGTTTAAATGAACTAAAATTGGACTTTAAATAAGGATAAATTTTCTCGAGATTGTTCGTATGAAATAGATTGTCATATTTAGAACTATAATAAAATGAAAGGTTAGATGTAAAAGTTGATAATATATATAATCATATTATTTGTTAAGCAATTTACCATAGTCGAATATATTCCAGATATTCTGCAATTCCTTTCAAAATCATTTCATTGGTCCCATATCGAATCAAGATCTCATCAATAATCACCCTCCATAGTTCAACCATAAATTCAATTTCATTTTCACAATTTTTTTGTACAAATATCGTTAATGTTTCAATAGCTTGACCCAATAAATTTTGTATTAAAAAAAGTGGTGAACCGTCAATAAACGGTCTCCTTGTAAGTGGTGAAACTGAAATTTTAGATGACTGTAGACAGCACAACAATGTCTTTATTAATGATGATAAAGAATTAATAACTGAATCGATTGGTGCAGTCAAGTGGTGAATAATAGTAAGGGCGGCTGAAATTAGAGATATTTTTGAATAGCAGCTGGACTCCTAGGATTACGAGAATAGTTAACAAAAAAGATACAAAAAAGGTATAATATAAATATCTCTCACCTCTCTTAAATGAACAAAACTCAATTTCTGTGCATCTGAATACCAATCATAATCCTGCTTGATTATATTTATTAATTCATCCGTAACGCTCTTATGCGTAATAGACTCTGACTTTTCGGATGCACATTTTATATTTGGAAATTTTATTAATCCATTCTTCGTAACGAGTGAAGAAATAGTTCCCGAAGAAATGGAAATGGTATTCGTTAAAAATAAATTGGACAACAAAAGTATCAACTTTTTGCTATCTGTATTCCAATGAATTGTAGAATACCTAAAAATGGAAAACTAATTGGTGAAATTTTATGATAAATAAGATAGAAGTAAAATTTATAAATGATTACCTTATAATGTACGGAAGAATAATTTTGGTATAATCTTTACATTTTAGAAATGATAGGTTTAATACAAACGATAATACAGCGTCAACATCCTACAGATAGTCGTTTATTTGAATTATTGATTTAAAATATATTTAATATAATCCTAAAAAATTAACAATTTCTTTAACATACATCATATTCGAAAATTTTATCCAAGATAACTTTCCCACCGAGGATATCATCCAGATTGGCCAATGTGAGCAAAGAAGCGCATATTTTAAAGAACTGTCGTTGAAGAAAAGTCAATCCTTGTGATGACGAAACCAGTATATATGGAGTTATGTTCTGTATCATTCTGAAAATACGTTTGAAGTCTAATAAGAATAAAATGTAAATTAATTTCTGTATACATATTATTTTTACTTTTTTAAAATCAAATTCTCACCATTAACTTGATTTCCCTTACGAAAGGTCAAACAGATATAAATCAGAGATAAGTTTAATCCAATTTTTAATTTAAGCGTCTCCGGCATTATTTCATTCTCATTTCTATCAAGTTTAATTAAATTATAATTAATCATATTTTCGATTTCCTCCAAATATAAATCCCATATTGGGCCAAAACTCCCACATTTGACATAGTGAAGAAGTGAAATTGTGGTTTCTGTAAGGATATAATAACATGGATTTGATTCTATTATATTTATTAATAAGAAATGATTATCAATTAATAAAGGTTACGCATTTGACCATTATTATAATATAGATTATTGAATATGACTTGCCAATATCATCATCATTTTCAAATTTAGAATATGAGGCGTATAACAATTCTTTCAATAATATATGTCCTCTTGAATGAAGTCTATTTTTAGAAGACTTTTATTTAATGCAAAGAAGTAAAATTAATAATCGGATATAGGAAACCGGTATGAAATAAGATAAGATATATACTTTAGCAGCTTCACTGAATAGCATGCTCAACCCTCTGCAATATATTTCTGATGAAGGCTCGTATGCTGAATCGATAATATAGTTAACGATTTCTGTAAGATTATTATTTTGAGCCTTGCGTAGAAGAAATGCAAACGATTCGGCGGCAAAACGTTGAATGTAAGGTTTCTGAAACTCTTTGCCAAGTAAAGGAGCTATAAGACTTTGTTGAAATTTAATGTTAATAAAATATAAATAATCCTATAAATATTAAAAGATGTCATTTACCGGTATGTTGGACATAAGTTAACAATAATTTGTTTAATTAAATACTTAAATAAATAAGCTATACAATTGAAAGTGCACTAAATATGATAAATAGAGAAATGAAGAAAATTGTTAACCAATGAACGGTTTATAATATTATTATATTTAGTTACTTACTTCAAGTGTATTGACATCTCGATGCTTCGTTAAAGGAACAATGCATGCAAATATTCGTTCGAAATATGAATAGAATTCAATTTCAATATCTTTAGCGAATTTAGTTATTAGACTAGAATTAAACAACAAGGTTAGTAATTTATTACAATGATGAATTATAATTAATATAAATATCGTTATGCTTACTCTAATAAAGGTTCTAATGCTAGACTATCTTCAACTTTAAGATGTTTTTCCAAAATCTCAACAACTTTTTCTTTATGGTATAGCAATTGAGGTAATGATTGGCAATATTCTGACACTTCGCGAACAAAAATTGCAAAATTCATTGTCAAATTAAGTTCTTTCCATGATTCCAATGATTCTTGAAAAAAGGAACCAAGAGCCTTGTTAAAATAATTATTTCGTCAATCCATTTATTAATATTGAGTCTTTTTTTTATAAAAAAAAAAAAAGCAAGAAACATTGATTTTACCTCCGGCTCTTCCTGGGTATTTTTATCACGACGCGATACATCAATTTTGATACTTTTTACACGTAAATTGAAAGTTTGGTACTATAAAATTTGAACAATAATTTAAACGCTATTTCACAAAAAAAAATTATAATTATAACGAAAAGACATTACTTTATACCGATTTTTTCCTTCACCAGTATTAAATTCTTTTGATATTATATTATCTTTCATGTTGAAGTTTTAACGTTAATTCAAATTCTTTTTTTTTAATATGAAAAGATTTCTAATATATCTAATTTTTATTTTATTTTTTTTTTGATTATCAACAAATGTTTTCTGCGAAATTTTATTGGTTGTTAACTAGAAATCACATGATGAAATATTAAGGCATTAGGAATTTATTTACGTTTGAAAATAATAGCTTTTTATAATTGGCTATTATAAGTATATTATTTTTATTAGTAAATGTAATCTTTCAGACAAAATTAGCAATACGCGATAAATTTAATAAGATGTAAAAATTAAAGCTTTTCTATAAATGATAGAATATAATTATTTTTAATCTAAAAATTATTATTACATTTTATTCCCCCACTTATCTTTCAAGACTAGGCAACCATCCTTAAGAATAGCTACGTTCTTTGTGATCTCGAGAAGAAGATCCCGATTACGTGCATCCTCCTGGATTCGCTTACGGAACGCTCTGATAATTGTGGGAACTGTAAGTTCGCGATTCTTGCTGATTATTTGCCGAACTTCTCGTTCGGAGATCAATCTATTGGAGTCTGCACGTGAGATGCTAGAAAGAGCAGCACTTTGAGCCGCTGCTTGAGAACCAGAAATTGGTTTTTCAGTTCGGGCTTTCTTACCTGTGGAAGACATAGGTTCCTTAACTTCACGAACTCGTTTAATGTCGCCAGTTGTTGTACGAACATTAGAAGAAACGTTCATACTTGCTGCTCTACTTATAGTATTTGAAGTACTAGTTGAAGATATAGCAGTTTCATTTTGTCTAAACCGTTTATGAGTTGTGGGCCTATCATCATCAGATGAAGGTTCATACATAGTTGATCTCTTCCCGAGAGATATTCTTTGTGGCATGGATCCAGAAATTTGATTCACAACAGGTTTATCACTACTTTTAAATCTGGTTTTCGAAGATGTTTCTTCACTAGTCGACAATTTAGCTGTACTTTTGGTCTTGCTTTGAGTAATAGATTTAGTTAATGTTGATTTTGTTTTAGCCACAGTGGCTTTACCTTTCGGTTTTTCGGCGGTCGCTTTCGGTTTAGGTGTCGCAATTGTTTTCACTTTTCCGGTAGCTTTGACGGCTGTCTTAGGTTTAGCAGGTGATTTGCTTTTATCGGTCTTCACGGTCGGAGTGGGCTTATTACCAGCAGCTCCAATAACTGGAGTTCTCGCAGGAGATTCTGAACTTGATTCTTCTTCAGATTCATCAAATTCACTGGCATAAGGATTCGATTCCTGATCACTATCGTCGTAAGCTTCATTGTCATCGAACTTTCTGACCAACTTCTTTAACTGCATTCCTTCCTGAGTTAATTTAAGAGAAGAATCTTCGTCTTCATCTTCATCCTCAAGAGACGTAGGTTTGTGGATGGCTCTTTTTTTTAACTTGACGACTTCTGCGTTTTCTTCATCAATAGGATTAGCATCATCTGGCAATTCTTCTTCATCATCTTCAAAAACTTGCTCGTATTCCATCTCTTCCTCGCTTTGAATCCCTCTTCTTGGTCTTTTGACATTTCCTTCGTCATCGGAACCGAATAAATCATCTTCATTCTCGACAGTCCTCAATGTTGACTTGAGATTAATAATGCCGCCTTCTTCTTCGGCTAGTTTTTTCTCTTTTTCATTTTGTTTACCCCACCTTCGCATCATCCATCGATCATTATCTCTCTTTTTAGCTCTTGCCATCTATGATAATTCGTATAAATAAAATTAAATTTTTAAAAAAACGTTATTTGATCTAAAGACAATTACCTCTTCTTCTGCTTCTTCGATAGTAAGAGTCTTGTACTTAATTTGTGGACGGAATGTATACCACCGATGTGATGGAAGGAATTTAAGCTTATTCTCCTGAAATAAGATTTATAAAATATTAAATAATTTCATTTTTATGCGAATCAAAGGTGTTCAAACCAATGAAATGAAATTCATTAAATATATACATCTGTTTTATCTTTTATTAAGAATCCATATTTTGCATCAGTTTCTTCGAAATGGCCAACCCATGTATGTGTACCATCATAGTCCTCTAATACCCATGGTAAACGTTCTTCAGCTTTAAGCTGCCTTTGTCTATCATCGGCCAAATAAATTTGTGTGGTTCTTTTCTTGAATAGATTTTTCTTATTATGTCTAGCACCGGCGAATGGTGCAATTTTAGAAGTATCTGCACCAGTGGTAGGACTTGCAGCTTGCTGTGTCATTTTTGAGGGTGGTACAACAGCGACATCTTCATTTTGACGAGTAGTTCCGGCGCTCGGAGTAGGTGCTTCAGGATCTCGTCGATGAAGCTTTACTGGTGGTTGAAACTTATCTAACACATTATTTCCTCGATGCAATCTCATTAGATTTACTTTCTTCATTGAGTTAATCATCGAACCAGTTATAACAAATTCTTTAACAAGAGTTTTCTCTATTTGAGGTTGAAATGGCTTTTTGGGTGGAAGTCGTTTACGAGGTGTCATTAGATGCTTGGGTTCCTGTGACAACTTTTTTCTCTCTTCAAGAGCAAGCCGATTTTGAGGTTGCGATGTTGTATTACTCGATGCTACGCTTTGATCTGATATGTTAGCTGAAACTATAGTTTGATGCGTTAGATTATTTACAGAATGTCCTTGTTGACCTGTTGTGATATTTTGAGGTATAATGCCTTGAATTATAGAAGAATGATTTATCTGTGTAATAGAATTATTTACAAACTGACCTGCTTGAACCGTTGGAATTTTTGCAGGTTGATTACTATTATTACTATTAGTATTTATACTATTTACAGTAGACTGATCGTGTAAAGATCCAGCCTGAGAATTAATGTTTTCTGCAGCAGTTTCCTGAGTTGACAAATTATTGAATGGTGGTCGAACCTGGGCCAACGTGTTATTTGTAAGTCCGATCTGGTTTTGTGCGGCCTCCCTTTCTTGTAAAGATGTATAATTTGAAGCAAGTAATTGGCTTTGTCTCAATTGTGAAATGGCTGAAGGATTTATGGTTCTAACTTGAGGATTAATTGGTCTACCATTATTTAAGAGTGGTCTTTGTAAGGTCGGTCTACCATTATCAAGATAAACTTCTTGAGGCCTAAAGTTAGGATTGACAAAATTTTGTCTGGGTCTTCCCAGTTGGTTTTGCCTGACGAGATTTCCGCCATTTGTATGGGGTAGGTTATTTTGGTTATTTTGTATCGGGTTTTGAGACATTTTTGTAATAGAAAGATTTCGGAGCAAACCTTTTGCTCTTTTATAATATGAAAATGATTTGAACAGCTATGAATTTGAAACGAGGGTAGGTAATGATTGAACCTCTGAATTCAAAAAAATTTAAATCGATTATCACGTGATCATGTCAACACAAGTAAATTTAACTTTTCGGAACAATAACATGTATGAAATGAATGAGTCATTTTATCTGCATCACGGACATTCACGGGATATTTCTCAAATTACGCGATCAAAGAAAAAAAACATTTTTTTCATTACACATTTTTTACGTTGTGATGTATGTGTATTGACCGAGTTAGTTATTATTGTGTAAAAATTAATTTATCTATTTTAGGAATGATCAGCGCACATCACGCGTTATTAACAATTACGATTGTTCTGCAATATATAAATACATCCAAAACTCTCAAACTCAAAAGCACTTTGCGCCCTTTTTTATATATATACATTTCCAATAACACTACACAAATTCCCCAAAGAAAGTAAAGAAAGTTTAATTTCAACATGCAAATCTTCGTAAAAACCCTCACTGGTAAGACCATCACTCTTGAGGTCGAATCTTCCGATACTATTGACCAGGTCAAAGCTAAAATCCAGGACAAAGAAGGTAATATTGTTTAAAAAAAAAATAATAATCTCTTAGTTGTTTCTTTGTGAGAAATAAACCAAAAAGATGGAAAAGCTCTATTTTTTCTCTTTTTTTTTTTTTTTTTGTGACAAAGCATTTGCTGCGGCTGCGCCGCTCGTTTTTACTTGCTTTGACATTTCTAACATCCTAGACTTTTTATTTTGTTTTCTACAGGTATTCCTCCAGATCAGCAACGTTTGATCTTCGCTGGCAAACAGTTGGAAGATGGTCGTACCTTGAACGATTACAATATTCAAAAAGAGTCAACTCTTCACCTCGTTCTCCGTTTAAGAGGTGGTGGTATGCAAATTTTCGTCAAGACCCTTACTGGAAAAACCATTACCCTTGAAGTCGAATCTGCTGATACAATCGAACAAGTTAAAACAAAGATTCAAGATAAGGAAGGAATCCCTCCGGACCAACAACGTTTAATTTTTGCTGGTAAACAATTGGAAGACGGTCGCACTTTGGCAGATTACAATATTCAAAAGGAATCAACTCTTCATCTCGTTCTTCGACTTCGTGGTGGAATGCAAATTTTCGTGAAAACACTCACCGGTAAAACTATTACCCTTGAAGTTGAATCGACAGACACAGTTGATCAGGTCAAGGCCAAAATTCAAGACAAAGAAGGAATCCCCCCGGACCAACAACGTTTAATTTTTGCTGGAAAACAATTAGAGGATGGTCGTACCTTGGGTGATTATAATATCCAGAAAGAGTCGACTCTTCATCTCGTTCTTCGTCTTCGCGGTGGAATGCAAATTTTCGTCAAAACTCTCACCGGAAAAACCATTACTCTCGAAGTTGAATCGACAGACACAATTGATCAAGTTAAGGCCAAAATTCAAGATAAAGAAGGAATCCCTCCGGACCAACAACGTTTAATTTTTGCTGGAAAACAATTAGAGGATGGTCGTACCTTGGGTGATTATAATATCCAAAAAGAATCAACTCTACATCTTGTTCTTCGACTTCGTGGTGGTATGCAAATTTTCGTAAAAACCCTTACTGGAAAAACGATTACCCTTGAAGTTGAGTCTTCTGATACAATTGATCAAGTCAAGGCTAAAATTCAAGATAAGGAAGGTATCCCTCCCGATCAACAAAGATTGATTTTCGCAGGAAAACAATTAGAAGATGGACGTACTTTGGGCGACTATAATATTCAAAAAGAATCTACACTCCATCTTGTTCTCCGTCTCCGGGGTGGACAGTAGGCAATCAATCCTTTTGCTTTCTTAAGTTTATCAGAGTAATCGCTTTTTTTTACTTTCTTTGGACAGTAGTGTTTTTTATAGTATATAGTATATTTTATTGTCTCGTTTTTATTTTTTTTTTTTTTTTTTTTTTTTTACAAGCTTTATCATGTAAAATTCGAAGATATATTTAGTAACGTCCCTTATCCTTAACTAAATTTTTTTTATTTTCTAAAAAAAAAATGTAATATAGTAAAAATAATTATTATATTATAATTGTTAAAATATTGATATCGTTTATTGGTTAATTTTTGTACACGTTTTGTAAGTAAATAAGTTGTTTCTTAATTTTTATATGCTTCATTAAGATTATCCGAAATAAAAATTTCTTATATATTTAAAATGTCTTTGTTATTCAAAAATCCGAATTAGGAAAAATTATTAGATATATATAGAAAGAGTACATTTTAATTATTTCACACGGATACTTGATTTCTATAATTTTGTATTTAAAGATCTCATTTTTGTTTTATTCTTAAATTTTTTTTCTTGTTTATAAAGAAAAAAACAAAAAATGGCAGATGACAATAATCTTTATGAATCATTTAATCGTAATTTAAAACATTATGCAAACTTACTCATCCAAACCAATTCAAATCAAATATTTTGGGATATAGTTTTACTAACATCAGGAAATTTACATCAAAAGTCATTATACGAACGTCAAATCAGGCGTAAACTCGAAAAAAACGAAATACCAAATTTAGGTGTAAAGTAATAAATAAATAAATACATCAAAAATATTTTTTTTTTTCACGTTGAAAATTGATTTTTGAACAACGAATCTGTTTTTATAGTTATCATGTGATAGCAGATCCTCAAGGAATTCAAATTGGAAGTGGAGGAAGCACATTGTTAGCGATGAAATTCCTTGATGACACATATGGATCAATTTTAAAACAAAGTAAATGCTTATTTGATCATATCGTTGGATAGAGACAGTATTTATCTTTAATATTTTAAATATAGAGAAAGTTTTGTTGATTCACGCCGGAGGATATTCAACAAGATTACCTCACGTTAGCGCATCAGGAAAAATATTCATGAAAATTCCAATCGGTAACTCGGAAAGAGGTAGGATGAAGTTTTTTCCCAATATCTATCACGTGACATTTATTTATTTCAATAATGTTTTAGAACGAAATTGGATAGAATTATTTGACTTGAAGTTGATTATTTATCTAGAATTAATCAATTATTTAAAGGATGGGGTAAGCGATTTTTTATACTTTCTCGAATTTAATCTAAAACTTTATATTAATTGTTGTTTTAACTTTAATGTAGACTGTATTTCTTACTAGTTCAGATACAATTGAATTGATGTCACTTAACGGTAAAAAACGTCTCCTTTTTAAAAAAATAAAAAAAAATAAATAATCATATAATTAACGCATCAAATATATTATTCTCCAACTCGATGATAGCAAAGGAAACTTCTTTACAAACTTCGATATATAATACACCATTTGTAGCATTAGCGCATCCATCCACATTACAAATTGGTACGACGCATGGTGTTTACAAAATACAAGACGATTGTCAAGATGATATATTATTACCTAAAGATCAAGGAAGTTTCATTAAAATATGTAAAGAATATTTACATAAACCATCTATTGAATTTATGAGAAATCATAATGGCATTATTCATTTAGATAATGTAAATTTTTTTTTTGGATTTATTATTGTTATGGTTCTTTAATCAAAATAATTTGATGCATTATTTATTATTAGGGTGGATATGAATTTGTATATACGGACAGTACTTACTTCTTTGATTATAACATATTAAAAATATTTCTCAAGGTAAGTATATGAGATACTTTAATTATTGAATTATGTTTCGTAAACGTTTTACAAAGAAAATATTCCGAATACACAGATATTGGATGAAATTCAACCATTAACGTATGAATTAGAAGCATGGTCTGATTTCTTATCAACAAAATTCACAAATCGCATCATAACGCAAGAAATCTCAACATTAGAAAAAGCACAACTTACGATTCTAAAGGAGCTTTATTCTCTCGAAAATCCCAAATTAAATGTTTTAATATTAAATAATTCAAAATTTTATCATATGGGAACTATGTTTGAATATTTAAATGAATGTTGTATAAATCCTCAATTTAAAGGAATTGTAAAATTTACTTCAGAAGAATCGTTAGATAAGAAAACTTCAAATAATGGAAATATTTGTATGATAAATAGTCATATAAATGAAAATACAGTATTATTTGAAGAATTCGCTCCTATAATTTTAGATAATATTAAAGTTCATAAAACTTTTGCTGAAGAAGATAAGAAGGTCATCATTGGAGGATGGAGTATATTAAGCAACATTGAATTAAACACATCAAATTTAATGTCGAAAGAAATTAGAATACCAAATCATATATGTATGTTTACTTTACATTTAAAAATCCTAAATCAAAAAATCTTTTCGACTTTTAATAATGAAGAAGGTTTTGTCACATTTATCTTTGGTATAAATGATGATATGAAAGCAAAGTATTCTTTTGATTCTTTAATTATTTATAAAAATATTCTTGTACATAAAATCATTCATTCACAATATTATAAATGTAAGAATTTACAAGAACAATTACCACCTAAATTAGCATTATGGAATGCTCCTATATTTCCTATGACTAAAACCAAAGAACAATCTATTAAATTAGCTATACAAATGTTAGAAAAAATAGAAAAAGCAAAATATATAATAGAAAATAATATTATAGAAAAAGATATGGAAATTTATGAAAAGGATATTCTTAAAGAAAATTATGAAATTATTATATTTACATCACTAAAAATGAGTGTTGAAATAATGGAAATATTATAATAATTTTAAATAATTTAATAAGTTTAGTTTCTTTTATTTATAAATATTTATTTTTTATATATTGTAATTATTTATATTAATAAATAATAAATATTTAATAAATATTATATTTTATTATTAATAAAAATAATAATAATAATAATTAAATATAAAAATAAAATAATTTTATTTGTTTATTTATAGTTATTTTAATTTAATTTATAAATACATTATTGATTTATTTTTCTTAACTAATTAAATTAATAATAATAAATATTACTTTTATTTTGTATTTATAATTTTTAATAATTTAAATTATACTAGTATGTTTTTATATTATATAGTTAAAAATAACATTTTTTTTAGAATTCAAAAAAATAATTAATTGTTTTACAAACCTTAATATAACAATTTTTTTTAAAGAATTTATATATTAAAACTAGTATTGCTAATTAAAACTAAAATTTTGTAATTTAAACTCATTAAAACTAATTTAATTAATAGCTAAAATTACAAAACTAGTTTTATTTTACCAAACTACCGTAAAGCGAGCTCTATAGTATCTGGGTACTTTATATTCCACAAATTTTAAGGAATACTATAATCAGAGGATACTGTAGTGTGATGGATGTATAATACATAACAAATAGTCTAAACTATATATAGGTAATAAGATTAATAGATGTGACGTAATATTTTTTTTGATTTAACTGTTGTAAATATGCTAAAGTTACTAAAAAAACTTTGACAATAATGGTGTTCTCATGATATTACATTATGCACAAAGAGTTCAAAGTAAAAAGGCAATTGCAAAAAGTTTTGATATTGAATCAAAGTAAATAAGGGATTGGGAAAAAAAAGGGAGCAACTTATGTCTTTAACTCTATATATTAAAAAGTTACCTTCAGAAAGGTCTTCAAGTTTACTTAAGTTAGAAATACTGTTAACGTTTAATCCTCGTAAACTATAACTGTTAGACAGGATATTAAAGTGTTATTTCTTTTTAATTGCATAGTAATCTTAAGGCTTTACAAATTTATTATTATGACTAAATTCAGATAAAGATTTATATGAGTATTTCACGATTAACAATTCAAAAGGTATTGTGTAATTATATTTTCAAGTAAGATGTTTATTAATGAAATAGAAAATAAAATAAAGAGAATAAACGATATAACAAGAGAAAAGAGAAGAAAATAAAGAAATAAAGTATTAAACTAAAATGTAACACAATAGGTCTGTTTGCCTTTTAAAAACTACTGGAAAATTAACTTATCAAATCCTACTTTTTACATGATCTAAAAAGTTATCTATTTATATAAAATACAGTACAGTCAGAACTCGATATAACGATTCTCGATATAACGATCACTTAATAAAATCTTGTTAAAACAATTTTTTTAAAAAATTTGACTTTATATTTGAACATATAAAAATTGTTATATAGAACTTATAAATTTTGATAAACTGATTTTTTTTAAAAAATTTTATAGTAAACCAGAAGGTTCATTATATTGAGTTCTGACTGGATATAACTAATATATCTAATATATCATATATGTCAAATATTCTGATATATCATATATATCAAATCTGTTTAATATATCTTATTTATCGATCATGTCAGATATATTATATATGTCAAACATGTCAGAAATGTTAGATATGTCAGATTTGTCAGATTTGTCAATCATTTGCATCACATAGGTCCTATCACTTTTTATCCATTTACAATACCATTATTTCAATAGGTTCAGGATTTAAGGTAGGAATATAAAGCTGTAACTTATAATATGGTTGTGAAAAAAGCAAAAAAACTAGCAGAAACTGATGAAATGAAACAACTTTATCTAACAATTCAAAATTTTAAATTTTCTAACAAGTGGTTAGATAGTTTTATTGGTAGAAATAACTTATCTAATAGAAGAACAAAAATTAGTTTCCAAAAATTACCAGAAGATTTAATCGAACAACAGCATTCATTTTTGAGTTTTATTCTTTATAGGCATATACAATATGATTATCTTTTCAATTTAATTGTTAATCTTGATGAAACTTCTCTCAGTTTTGATTACCATCTTCAACAACATTAGAATTAAAGGGATCTAAAACTATTAGTATTAGGTCAACTGATCATGAAAAAAATTGTTTTATAATAGTTTTGGCATGTATTGCAGATGATACTAAATTAGAACCTGTAATTATTTTCAAATTAAAAAATATTCCTTGCAAAATATTTCCTGATGAAGTTAAAATTTGTGTTAATAAAAAAGGTTGGGTTAATAAAAAAGAAATACTTTGGTGAATTTAAAATATATGGTATAATAGGGGAGATATAAATAATAATCTAAGAAGTCTTTTGATATTTGATTCTTTTCGTGATCATTTAGTTAATAGTATTAAAAATAGACTTAATGAAAAATAAATAAATATTGCAGTAATTCCTAAAGGGTTAACTGGTAGACTTCAACCATTAGATATTGGAATCAATAAAATATTCAAATCCAAGATAAATTTTTTTTTATAATTATTTTTTTAAAATTTAATTTATTTAATAATTTTATTGTTTTATTAGATTTGCAAATTATATAATAAATAGATGTTTGAAGAAGTTCATGAACTTACTCCTGCTGGAAAAATTAAAAGACCTGCTTATAATAAAGTAATACAATGGATTAAGGTTGCTTAGGATAGTATTAATGTTGAAAAATCAAAAAATCCTTCAAATGCTGTGGTATTTCTGTAGCAAAAGATGACACAAAAGATGTTTTTATTTTTGATTATGATTTTTTAAATGATAAAAATGATAATCTAGATGATGATGTAATGTTTGAAGATATCATATATGATGATTTTGTTGCTGGTTATGAAAATACTTAGAATTAATTAGCATTAATTTAGATAATATAAATATTTGAAAAAATAACTTACATGTTATTAGTAATAATAAAACTATTTTTTACATTTGATAAGTATTTATCATATTTTATATTAATAAAATTAAAAATTTATACATTTATTAACATTATCGCGCGGTATTGGTATATTAATATTAGTTTATAGTATCCAGATACTTTACACAGAGGTCTGATATTTGCAATGTATAGTATCTGGAGTACTTTACATTCTAAGCTACTTCAGAAGGAAGTATTATATACAGGGATACTATAGAACACGCTTTACAGCAGTGTTGGGCAATTGAACAATTTTGGACAGGTTTTGGACACAATTTCATATGTCCAAAACCTTATCCAAAATATTAAAATTAAAAAATAAGTCCAAAACCCATCATTGCTTTACAGTATTTTTTAATAATTTAGAATAATAACTTTAATTATAATGAAATTATTTAATCATGATGAAATGTTTAATCATAATTTAATTAAATACAACAATTTGATAAAACATTTAAGTTTATGAAAATAGTTTAATTAAATATTATTAATTGATATTATTAAATAATACTAATAAAATTAAAAGTAATTCTATCAAGAAATATATTAAAATTCATTATTTTTTATAAATATTGTGAATGGATAAAATATGATAGGATTTATGTGATGCAGATGATTAACAAATCTGATAAATCTGATATGTCTAACATTTCTGATATTTCTAATATGTCTGCATATAAAATATATCTGATATGATCGATAACTAGGATATATTAGACAAATTAGACATATGGGAGGCAGTTAGTAGAAAAAGGAGAAACCTAAATTTTGATCAATATTTATATTATTAGATCACTTAACTAGCCTTGATTATGTATACAAATTTGGCTTAATAATATAGGGCAAAAAGGGGTTACTGGGACAGATTTCAAATATACCTCCAAATCCGCCTACGAATACATTTTAGCTATATGAATCAATTATCAAATTCAAACCTCTAGCGCCTTTTGACTCAAATATAGATAATGTTATCGAACTTGGCTATGAATTAGCCTGTCTGATAC